TCTTCCCCTAAGTTCACTGAACATTCTTTTAACCAGCATTTTGAACTCTATCTGGTAGAATGCTTGTCTCCATTTTATTTCGTTCTTTTTCCAGATTTTTACTCTGCTCTTTCACTTGGGACATGTTTTTGTTTTTTGTGTTTTGTTTTTTTGTCACTTCATTTTGGCTGACTGAGTTTTTTCCTATATATTAGGTAGTTCTGCTATGCCTCTCAATTTTGGTAGAATGGCCCTATGTGGTAGGTGTCCTGTGGGACCTGGTTACATAGTCTCCCTGTTCACCTGAGCTGGGTATTCCAGAGGTGTCACTTACGTGGGTTGTGTGTGCCCTCCTGTTGTAGTCTGTACTTGATTATTTTTGGCATCTCAGTATGTGGGATTGATCTTCAGGCTGACTGGCTGTGAGACCTGACTACAGCAGAGTTGTGTTGTGCAGGGAATGGGAATGACCCCACATTGAAGGAGTCACTTTAGCTGGGCTCTGATGCCAACGAAGTTCACCTTCCAGGGGTATCATTTGTGAAGCTGTTTGGGTGATGCTCTGGTGCAGATCAAGATCAGTTGCCACTTGTGTTCAGCCCAGTGCCAACTGGTAGGAACTACTAAGTGATCTACTGTTGGTAGCTACTGGGCTGGGCTTAGAGGCATTTGGGAGAGGCTGTGCTTTGAACTGAGGCTCGCTGCCACTGTGCCAAGCTTGGGACCCTTTGGTGGGCACCACCACGTGAGCTGAGAGGAGCTGCCACTGTTTCAGGCTTATTGCTGCTTACTTGAAGAAACATTCCAAGCCAAGACTGGCAACCACTTATGCCAGGTGTAGGGCCACCTGATGGGTGTTACAATGCAAGTTGAGACTGGTTACTTCTTGTGCTGGGTTTAGAGCCACTAGCAAGAAGTACAGAGAATGCCAAGGCCAGCTGCTGCTTGTTCAAGGTTTGTGGACTGTTGAGAAATTTTAGGAAAGTGCACAACATGAACCTAGGCAGGTTTCTTATGTAGAAAAGCCACCAGAAGAGGTTTGGGCTGGGCACATTAATTGGCTGTGGCAGGTCTCAGGGAATCGCCAGGCAGGGTAAAGGGTGTTAGCCAGGTTAATGGACAGCACGGATTTGGTGCCTGCCTGCACTGTGCCAGCTGAGTGGGAGGAGGGGTCAACAAAGGAACAATTGCACCTGCCAGCCAAACATGTCCCAAGGGAAAGAGCAGAGTAAAAATCCAGAAAAACAAGAGCTGCCCTGCCCTCCTGTCCTAGCCTTGGAGCTAGTCAATTTAATTCCTCCCTGTATGTTGCTGGCACTTTTCAGGCTGATGCCCCTGGCTGGAGCCTAGAGTGAGTGAGTTTGTGAGTGAGTGAGTCTATGCTCAGGACCTTTAAGGGGTCCTTTAAGAGGGCTCCTAGGTCTCCAGCAGCCCTCTGTCTCACTCAGATGTAATCCCTGCTGGTAATTCCAGATGTTAAGGGGACTCTTCTTCCCAGCACTGGAGTCTTGGGCTTGGGAGCCAAGTGTGGGGCTGGGGGCCCTCACTCCTTAGGAGGGGACCTGTGTAGCCGAGATATCCCTCCCAATTCTTAATCACCACACCGTGGGTGTGGGACCAACATGTTTCACAAATCCCCCTGTCTTGGTGTCGCTTCTTTGTGTCTTTAGTTATGTGACTTCTCTTTGGGTAGTCTTTAGGTAATTCTGAATGATGGTTTTTCTACAATTTAGTTGCAATTTGTATGCGTCCATGGGAGGAGGTAAACACAGCTTTTACCCACTTCACCATCTTGACTGGAAGTCTGAGCTCCTCTATTCCTTACCTTTACTTTATTCAGGAGATAACATTGAGCACCATGGAGAGAGGAGGCTGAGGGAAGGCAGCCTGGTAGTCCCCTTGGGCTAAGGATGCTTTGCCATTGGACTCTTGGGCCAAAAGAAGGCACTAAGTAGGTTTACTAAACTGGAAAACACACCAGACACGGGTTTAGTGAGAAAAGTAGTAAACTGATAGTTAGTCAGTGTACTTACAGCCCTGCTTCTACCATTAAACACCTGGGTAAACTTGAACAAGCCTTGTAACTTCTCAGAACCATAGAGTTTCTGCCTATTAAATAGGGGATATTAATGGATGTTTCTGAACATGTCTTCTAGCTCTAAAATTGAACTAAGTGAAAAACAGCATGAGAAATGTTGAAAGCGATAGATGAATATGGGATGTGATGATGATGATGTAAAATTAGGATGATCATACCAGTTTAAAAAATTGCTATGATGACCGAAGGAAAGAGTGGAAAGTACTTGTATGTAGTGGTAGGTAGCTGTGAAGATGGTTATTGTTATAGCTGAGGCTCTAAGCATGCATCTCTTCTGCTGTACCCCTTCCGACTAAAGTGATGTCCCAAAGTGACCACACAAACCCTCAGAACTCTTTGAAGTTACACAGGAATATACATGTCTGTGTTTCATGCATTCTTATCCTCCAAAGAGCAGCAACAACAGCAGGCATTCTTGTACTGCTTATTTCTCACAAAGTGATTTTCTGTGCATGGTTTCGTTGGATTTTCAAAATTAGGCTTTGAGTCAGGTAAAGCAAGTTTTGTTTTCATCCCAGCTCTCAGGCCCTGCCTTGCACCCATGGAGTGGCACTCCAGGGGGTGCTATCCATGTAGCGTGCGCCCCAGAGTCCTGCAGAGCAGCAATACTGCGGCCTTTCAGAATAGGAAATTGAAGCCCAGAGAAGTTAAATGAGTTGTCTAAGGTCACACAGCAGAGGAGAGAAATGGTCTGATTTTCAAGTCAGGTTATGACCCCAAGTATTCTGTGCTTTCTCCTACACAAGGTCACACTATGTGGCCTTGGCTACAATATATACAGAAAGACTGTGACAGGGTCAAATTCTCAGTGCCAACCTTCCTATCTAATAGTAGGCTCTGGGGTCTCTTGACCTTAGGATCCTAGGAGATAATCGGAGAAAGTGCTCACTGTGCCATAGTGTGATACGGCACATGGTGACGCAGTCTTGTTCTAGATGTGCTGTTCTCAGGACATTACTTTGTGGAAAGGAAATGCCTGCACATCCAAGCAAACCATTCCTTACATGAATATTCAGTCACCAGGACCCCTAAAATTCTACTGGATCTCCCACCTGTGTTGTCATCTTATCACAATCCATGGTCTGTGCCAAAAGCTACATTTCAGTATTAGAGAAAGGCTCGGAGTTTGAGGAAAGTGACAGAAATATTTATTAAAGTGGTGCACTTGGACTCCATGCAAAATGAAAAAGAGACTCCCTCATATTCACTAATCCCCAAACAAAATAACCATCAAGACATATTAAAACACACATTTTATTAGTTTCATTTAATTTCCTAATTGCTCAAAGTCAGCTTACCCATTTACTGCTGTGTGAAATGCTTAGAGGCAAGGCGCACATTAAAGGGATTATTTCCATGTAATCCCTCCCTCCCAGAGGGTAGGAACTGATCACTTATGAATTCTGATTTACTCTCTGTAACAATATCAAATGGAGGAAATAGTTATTGTAAAATGATAGAGTCAGGAGCAGGGTAATACAGTAGGAGAGTGTAATTCAATAGCAGAGAGAAAGTACCTCATTTTCGGTAAAACTTATGCGAGCCTTTTTCAGGAATAGCTATTAACCAAACTGAATTTAGCCTCCCGTTTTTCTGGCTATACCTCTGTTAATTGATAGATGGTGAAGATGTGTAGCCTGTTAAGATTTTAATCAAATAGGGCCTGGGAGTGGATGTGCTCATCTTCCCGGGACTTGGAGATCTGGGGATAGTAATTGCCCTGTGACAACCCTCCTTCTCGCAGGAAAGGGTGCAGGCATTCCGGTGGAATTCGGAGGCGTGACACAAATTGCACAGGAAAGGCGATGAGGTAGGAAGGGGTTTTAGGTAAATATCCACCGAGAAACTGTGGCCCCCTGAACTGGCGGTTCCTGTGGCACATCATCGCTGGCCCGAGCCCGTGCCACTGCCGAGGACTGGGAAACCCATTAGTGACCCGGGAAAGAGCTTTTCCTTGTTCTGTTGCTGATCCATCTCTTCCTGTCATAGTACCTATAACCCCACTACACTAGTTTAGGAGCATGATTGCTATTCTTGGAAGGAAGGAAGCGCTATAGCATCAGAGGAGTACAGAGGTAAGGCCGATCCTTAGCAGCAATTTCTGGCCCCTTAGCACCGAAATAGGCAGTTTCTCCATTTCAGGCTGAGCCCTCTCTGATATTTCCTATTCATTCTCTACCTTCAGACTCAGCCTGATACAAAGAGCCCACAAAATAAAACATTTTAAAGCCCTCAAGGAGATTTGTACCATGAATTTTATTAGATTGAAGGCAAAACAAGCTGATACCAGCAGAAAAACAAAATGGCCGCTGCAGACCCCAGCTGACCTCTTCTGCGTGGAAAATTCTCCATATGATTACAGAGCTAATGAGTAATATTTAATGAAAACATTATGCCTTTGCATATATTTGTAAGCAGCACTTCTTCCATTTAAATTTACATAGAAATAAGCTGGTATGTAAAAATACGCATCTTGGGAATCTGTGTGCTTTAAGGAAAACACTCATCTGCTGTCTCTGGCTATTTCTATACAAAGCTCCAACTTCTCAATAGAAAACTGGAGAATTCAGTCAATCATCCGGCTGACACCCAACATGCGAGCATTTGATGATGCGTGGATAAAACAGCTGAACTCAAGGCAGACTCACCCACATTTCACAGGATGTTTGGGCTTTATGCAAACAACAGTGTTTGAGAAAAACTGTCCTAAACAATTGCTAAATAAATACATGTGAAAAAAAAATCTTTCTCTTTCAATTTCCAGAATCCTTAAGCATTTGAGGATAATGACTTCGAATCAGGATTGTTTCTGGGGGCTGCGTATCTTTCCTTTTCTGCTCAGAATCTGAATCACAGTGGTCCTGAATATGACATTGAAAGCCTGTGACACCTCTCTTTCCCACTCTTTCTCTTCCCCCTGTAGGTGGAGCTGACAGGCAGCAGCGTCTTTGACTATGTCCACCCCGGGGACCACGTGGAGATGGCAGAGCAGCTGGGCATGAAGCTCCCACCTGGGCGGGGTCTCCTCTCCCAGGGTACCACTGAGGACGGAGCCAGCTCAGCATCTTCCTCCTCCCAGTCAGAGACCCCCGAGCCAGGTGGGAATTGCAATCCCAACGTGTGGGTTGGTGGGCAGGACCTTTGCCAATGATTGCACACAAGTTGCCAGTGTGAAGAGATTATAAATAGGTTTAATGGTATTTAACAATTCCATGCAGCTTTCTGTCCCAGGCAGTAATTAAATAAAGAAGAGATTGGAAAATAAGGAGACATTCTAATAAGTATAATCCAGGGATCTGATTTCATTTGAACAATAAATATAGAAGGCACTAGTGCCTTTAGTTTCATTGTCAAATTACTGGAGGGAAAGGTTCAGATTTGGAGAGCCCTCTTCCTTTTATTGTTGCCGTGGCTAAATGTAATGCATTTATTTATTATTCAGCAAAATCTATAGCAGAGTCTTTTTGAATATTAGCTTACAGAGAATTAAAAGTATGAGGGACTTGCAGAAATCTCAATTTCTTTTTTTGTAAGCATCAGAAGGTACTTGAAAGATGTGAACAGATAAATTAGGGCTAAAAAGAAAACAGAAATGGCTACATTTTAAACTGCCTTTCTACCCTCAGTATTTAATTAGATCAATTGTATAGAGGAATGAACAGAGGTGACATTCCTCATTGGGATTCCTTCCAGGACTCTTATAGACTTTGCATTCAGAATGTTCCCATTTTCATTGTGTTGTACTGATGATAATTTAAGTATTAGGGGAAAATCCATTTATAAATTAAACAAAATGACTTGATATCCATCAGTCCCCTAGTTCATCAAGCTGTTCAAACACGGGGAAGATTGGCTGGTCGGCCTGGGTCTTCCGAGAGCGCTGGTAATTAGATCTGCGAAGGATTTATTCTTTGCTGATTGGGGCTTTAAATTAATTGAAGTTCCACATTTGTGGTTTTGTCCTTTTTGTACTTTTTTAGAGGAGATATTTCATATTCTTGTGTGGTGGAGTGCTTGGCCAAGCAGCACTGGTTTAAATGTTAATTTTTCTCATGAGAAGTTTAAGATTTTTAATGAATCAAGGCCTGATTTGAAGTGCAAAGTTTTATTTGCTTATTTAAGAAATTATTTTTGCACTCTAAAGATGCTTGACTTTATTTGATATGCTGTTTTAAAACAGATTCACAACACAAAAGCATTTTTATAGAAATAAAAACAGGGGGGAAAAGCTCTAAAGATTACCACTAAAATAACTCTACATACTTCTAAGGAAATACTTTAATTTGACCTGCTTATAAATAATCACAGCGTGTTTGCTCACACAGAAGGGAAAAAACATAGTTGTCCTTTTTTGGAAAATAATTTAATTCCATCTAAAACCAATCCATGTTTCCTCGTTTAGGTCACCTGCAGCTTGTAGGGCAGTATCTGTCCACAAGTGAGCATCCTTCTCAGTGAGCTCCACGCCTGAGAAAGAGAGTAGTTAAGACTGCTCTTTATTACTTACAAATGAAAATTTTGTTGGGGGATGTGGTCATATATTCTTATAGCATTGCTCACTGACTTTACTGAATAGATGTGTCGGTGAGATCATGGGAACTGCTTTTTCAGTCATTAGGATGCTCACATCTGGGCGGATGGAGAAGCAGCACAAGCACATAGTTGTCTATTCCTTCATGCAGACTGGGACAGGGGAGCCTGGGCTGCTCAGGATAATCACTCAGTGTGTAAGAATTCAAGTTTATAAATCTTCATGTGAGCTAAAGCCTGAGCAATGTGGACTTTGTTTCCCTGAATCACAAACTCTCAGTTTAAGAAGGATTGTCAACATTCCTTTCATCTGACCTCCAACCTACGGAGCCATCCCTTTATAGCAAAACCAACAGGTAACCTTCCAGTCTCTGCTGGAACTTGCTCCCGATGGGAAGCTAAGTGGGTACTAGGCTACCCACTCCTTGGGGAGCAGCTCCAATAGAAATTATCCCTAACATGGAGCCGAAGCCTACGTTGCTGTAGCTTCTCCCTCTGATCCAAGGTCTACCCTCCGAGACCACATTTCAGATTTACTCCTTTCTGCTCATCATAACCTCTCAAATATATGAAATCACTTACACCAAATGCCCCTTCGTCCTGCCTGCCTTCCTTTCCAGGTCCAACCGCCTCATTCCACAGCCATGATGCATGTTCCTAAGACTCTCGCCACCCTAGTCGCCCTTCCCTGGCTATGCTTCAGTTTGCGGTGACCCTAGAAAAATATGAGTGTAGGAACTGAGTGTGGCCCTCGAGATGTATTCTGATGAGTACAAAGCAGAGGGACTGTGGCCTTTCTCCGTTCGGGCTGCTGTACTTCTGTTAACACCACCTATGGTGGAACTAGGTCTTCTTAGTAGCCCACTTACACTGCTGATTCACACCGAGCTTGATGTCTCCACAATCACAAACACGTTAAGGGTGACTGTCACTCGGAAAAGACTTTGATCGGAAGGAAAATATCCACAGCCTGTAAACCAGTTCTGCTAGGATATCCTAAGCTGGAGTCCAAATCACACCGATTTAAGGTTGCACATAGAGCTCGGCTAGACCCGGGCCTTCTCTGAAGCACAGTTGGCAGAAAGCAACCCTAGGTGCACTCGGAGCCCTCAGTCCTCACCGGGCATCTTTTCATTCTGGGCTTTAGAGTAGCATATCCCCCTTAAGGTTGTGCTGTCATTTAACAGTTGAGGTGTGATGGAGAAGTTACTTGGGTTTCTTTCCCCTGCTTTCTTGAGCCAAGCTAACCAGTAAAATCAAAAACTCTGCTTTCTAAGCACACTCCTTAACCACCTGGGCTCATTAGCGACAGTCGCGTAAGAAGGTTTCTCTCCCTTGTTGGCGAGTGTCTCTCCTGCCATTAGAGAAGGGTAAACGCACTTTGCTTTCAAAGTCTGCAGTGTGGGTTCTTTTCAGTCTTTGGCTTGAAAAGGCAATTAGACTGACTGCTCAAATACTGAGAAGCGGGGTGGGGAGCTCCCTTTAACTGGATATCCTCACTAATGCAGATCATTGCTCCAAGGGAATTACTTTAAAAGTTCATGTCAGGCACTACATCCCAAAGCTGCTTATGTTTCTTAAAAGCTGGAAGAATTTTAACAAGATTTCCTAATTCCTAATAACGCGGAGGAACATTTTTGAAGAGTGTTCTTCGTTGCATCATAATCTTTTAAACTCTGGTAAAACACAGATTCTTTGTGAAATAATAGTGTAATGTGGTTGGAAAGGGATATCAATATGTGCTGATTATGAAAATGAGGGGACTGGTAGGTAGGAAAATGTTCAGAAGCCCTGATGTGTTCACTGTAGCATTACTAAATGACTGAAATCTAAACAACATTTGGCATAATAATAAAAGGAAGCAAGTGACTAAACCGGCCTAAGAGGCATGATACTGTGCCATGATCGGAATTCCTTTTCTTTGAACTGCCAGTCCTTTGATTGTCTTGTCTTCAACCAGACTCAAGATAATGAGAGAGCCCTAGCTGGTTTGGCTCAGTGGATAGAGCATCGGCCTGCGGACTGAAGGGTCCCAGGTTCGATTCCAATCAAGGGCATATACCTTGGTTGCGGGCACATCCCCAGTGGGGAGTGTGCAGGAGGCAGCTGAATTGATGTTTCTCTCTCATCAATGTTTCTAACTCTCTATCCCTCTCCCTTTCTCTCTGTAAAAAAATCAATAAAATATATATTTAAAAAAAAAAGATAATGAGAGAGGGAAAAAAAATCTGTAGACTGGACAGCAAACCCAGATAAATATTTTATATGTATGCACATTTCTTAATAGTTTAGTAATATCTTTCTTTTGGGGAACTCTTAAGGCAGGTGTAAGAAAAATAAATAGGCGGCCGTATTGAAAGTGAAGGGGTTCCAGTGTGCCTGTCCGGAGCTGCCCCAGTGCCTTGGAGGAGACTGCTGCGTGCTGTCCCCCCAGGCTCCCCCCCCCCCAGGAGCACAGAGCCTCCGGGCGTGATGTCTGCGTGGGTCGTTTTCTTTTTGTGGATCAGCGTGACTCTTTTCCTCACTCTTAATGATTCTGTAATCTTGGGATTATGAGTGCTACCCTCTTACTAAATTTCAATGCTGTATCTTTTAAACACGTAATAAGCAGAAAAGCAGCTCTTTTAAGAAATCCTAGAGCAGTGGTTCTCAACCTTCCTAATGCTGCGACCCTTTAATACAGTTCCTCATGTTGTGGCGACCCCCAACCATAAAATTATTTTCGTTGCTACTTCATAAGTGTAATGTTGCTACTGTTATGAATCATAATGTAAATATCTGATATGCAGGATGTATTTAGGCGACCCCTGTGAAAGGGTCGTTCGACTCCCAAAGGGGTCGCAACCCACAGGTTGAGAACTGCTGTCCTAGAGGAACTTTGAAAATCTCCCTGTTTTGGCAGCAAAGAGTAATATTCCTTAGGTTAGGTCATAACATTGTTGGTTTTACGCCTTCCTCCTTCTTACTAAAACAGGTTGGTTTTTCTCTAATTATAAAATTAATTCAATTTGTTGTGAAAAGTCCAGAAATATAGGAAACAAAAAGCAACCAACATGACATGACCCCCAAATAACCCCGTGTATGTACTCTATATCCATCCTTCCAGGTTTGTTTCTACTCCTATACACATATACAGTCATGTGGTGGGGTTCCTTTGTTTGCTTAAATAACATAACATACAAGTACATGCCCTGGTAGCCTGCTTTTTCACTTTCCCTGTCATGTTTCTCACTATAACATAAAATTTCCTCTCTGTCTCCAGTGGTTTGTTTCCCACCAGCTAACAATCAGTTCCCAGCTATAGGACCACTGTCAGGAGTCACGTGCCTGGGTCCTGCTTTGGAGGGAATTCAGTCAGGACGAGAGGTTCTTGCAGCTTATTGAATGGGTGCAAGCTCATAGAGGGAGAAATCAATACTGCACCAGGATTTAGACAATTTAGCAAAATGTATGAGACAGTACTTTTGGTGAAGGATAACTACAGCAACACCATTAACCATTTGCTGTCTAAAAATAGAGGTTAAGTTCCACGCAGATCTAGCTTGTTTGGGGGAGCAGGTGGGGGGGT